TCCAAGATTTAGCAATGACAATTTATGCTGCTATAAACATGGATGCACACATATCACTGTGATTTGATGTTTTTAATTCTTCGGGGAAAATACCCAGAAGGGGAATACCTGCATAAAGTGGGACTTCAAATCCTAGTTTTGTAAGGAATCTCTACATTGATTTCCACAGTGGTTTCACCACTGTACACTCCCACCAGCAGTGGAGAAGTGTTCCTTTTTCCCACAGCCTCTCCAGTAGTTGTTATTGGTTGATATCTAAATGATAACCATTCTTTCTGGGGTAAGATGGAATCTCAGTGTTGTTTTAATTTGCATTTCTCAAATGACTAATGATACTGAACATTTTTTCATGTATATATTTGCCATTAGTATTTCTTCATCTGAGAAGCATGTATTCATCTCAGATGCCCATTTTTGGATTGGGTCTTAAAATTCTTTATATGTTCTAGATAGAAGTCCTTTGTCTGAGGGGCAGTTAGCTAAAATTTTTTCCCAATTCATGGGTTTTCTTTTTATACTATTGGTGATTTCTTTTGATGTGCCAAAACTGTTCAATAAGATGAGATCCCAGTTGTTGATTCTTTGAAGTAGTTCCGTTCAGTTTGGTTTTTGTTCACAAACTCTCTGCCTACCCCTATGTTTTCAAGATTTTTACCTAATTTCTCTTCTACTAGATTTAGTGTGGTTTTTTTTTTTAATATTTAGGTCTTTTATCCATTTTGACTTTAATTTAGTGCATGGTGATAAGCATGGGTCTTGTTTTAGTCTTCGGGCACCAATTATTAAAAAGATTATCTTTCTTCCAGGAAACATGTTTGGCCCCTTTGTCAAAGATAAGGTGGCTGAGTGTGTTTGTAGCTGTGTCTGCATCTTCTAATCTGTTGCATTGATCTTCAGGTCTGCTTATTTGCCAGTACCATGCTGATTTTTATGCAGTAGTTTGTAGTATAATTTCAAGTCAGAGATTGTGATACCTCCTGCCTTTCCTTTGCTGCCAGGATTGCTTTTGCTATTCTAGGCCTCTTCTAGTTCCAGATGAATTCTAGGAATGTTTTCTCTAGATCTGTGAGGTATGCTAATGTTATTTTAATTGGGATTGCATTGAATCTGTACAACAACTTTGGGAGTATGGCCATTTTCACAATATGATTCTTCTTATTCATGAGCAAGAAATACCTTTCCATTTTCTGAAATCCTCTTTGATCTCATTATTCAGAGTACTGTAATTTTATTACCATTAATTCTTAATTCATCTTTCATCTTCCAGGACCTGGTAGTGACAGTCTGCAGGAATGTGGGGCTCATTCATTGGCAAGCCTCCTCAGTTTCCTGAGGCATCACCAGCAGTTTTGTGTGACAGTGAAGTTGCTTTCTCCACAGATGGATAATGAGTCTCTAGCCCTGCAAACACAGGCTGTAGCAAATGAAGCCCAAAATCTAAAGGCCTTTGCCACTGTATTTCCTCTTTTGAATCCCCACCTTGAAAGGACTGTGGTACCATGCAGGAAGGCCTTGAGAACACTGGGCTTGAGGCAGGAGAGCTCAGAGTACAGGCAACTGTATGGATCCATAAAGATGACTTTTCCCTCTGTGAGTTTTATGTCCCAGCTAAGGGACACCCATCCAGGGAAAATGAAACAGGGAGAATGTCCCGAAAGCCAGGTTTACACCCCCTGCAGTGGGAACTTCCTTCTCAAGGGTATACTGACAGGACAAAGATCCTTCTCTGAATCCCCACACCCTGACCTTCATGGTTACCTGGGGAA